GTGAAAAGTGCTTGGAACAAGGAGGGGGACACTTTCAGCAGCTGCTTTAATTTATTGTTATAACAAGGAGGGGGACACTTTCCGCAGCTCCTTTAATTGTTTGTTATTGTTATCACGATTATTGTTTAAAATAAAGTTATATAGTCATTAACGTTATTGAAACTGACAGCTGCTATACAGCTCGTTGAGAAATGAGGTTAAGTTGGTCGCTATAAGCTACGCCCTACGTCCAATGTGTCAGAGCCAACTTCGACCACGTTTTTATTTGAACGCTCGATATTTGGATATATTAAATTTTGGAATTTTTAATTTTTGGATTTTTTAATTGTTGGATTTTTTAATTTTTGAATTTTATAATTAATTTTTGGATTTTTTAATTGTTGGATTTTTTAATTTTTTAATTTTTTAATTAATTGGATATTTTAAATTTAGGAATTTTTAATTTTTGGATTTTTGAATAATTATTTGGATATTTTAAATTTTGGAATTTTAAATTTTTGGATTTTTTAATTTTTGGTCATTTTAATTTTTGAATATTTTAATTTTTGGATTTTTTAATATTTGGATCTTTTAATTTTTGGACGTTTTAATTATTATTTGGATATTTTAAATTTTGGAATTTTTAATTTTTGGTTATTTTAATTTTTGGAATTTTTAATTTTTGGTTATTTTAATTTTTGGATATTTTAATTTTTGGATTTTTTAATCTTTGGATTTTTTAATCTTTGGATTTTATAATTTTTTGATTTTTTAATTTTTGGATTTTTTAAATTTTTGGATGTTAATTTTTGGATTTTTTAATTTTTTGGATTATTTAATCTTTGGATTTTTTAATTTTTGGAAATTTTTAAATTTTGGATTTTTTAATTTTTGGATTTTTTAATTTTTGGATTTTTTAGATTTTGTAATTTTTAATATTTGGATTTTTTAATTTTTGGATTTTTTAATTTTTGGAATTTTTTAAATTTTGGATATACTACTACTATTATTACTACTATCACTACCACTACCACTACTACTAGTGTAGTTTATTTGAGTGTAATGTAGAGGGTGTTTCTTAATAACGTGCTAATATTTAAGGTTATTTCTGGGTCCATTTTAAGAAAAAAACTTCATATGAACATGTCCTAAAAGTCTTAACTTTTGAACTACAGGGTGCTAAAGTTTTATGAAAAAACATTTTTTTATCATAACTGGTATTACCCTAGATATTTTTTCAAATTTCGCGCACTTGGTTTTTCTTAAAATGGACCCAAGAATAACCTTAAATATTAGCATATTATTAAGAAACACCCTGTATTAATACAATATATGTATAAGAATATTACATATACATTATTGCTGCCGCTGCCGCTACTGCTGCTGCTCGTGCTGCTGCTACCCATACGGCTGCTCCTGCTCCTGCTCCCGCTACGACGACAACGTAGTCTCTAGGCTCTACTGATCAAGAAACCTCCAGCTCAAACTGTAAAAATACAAATGAAATTGAAATGACGCATTCTGAAATATGTCTGGAAAAGTCGTTTATATTTTTTCTTTCAAATATCGTCAAAGTGCTATCACACTGTTCAACAGTGATAATGTTTATTAAAAATTATACACAAATGAGTCGGAGAATTTCGTCATAATCACTTGTCTAATAGTCTTGTCAAAATCTCATCAAATTTTCATCAAACCCGTTATTGTTACCTAAGAAAGTTGCATATATTTTCATAATTACCCTTCAGTTTGATTTTGATACGAGCAATTTTTCAGCACTTGGTACATCTCCAATGGCTTGAAGACGACGAAATGGTTGCAGTAGAGGTCAACCCACTCAGTATAATGGAACAATTACCTCCAGCTTTCGTACAGAATAAATTTGGTCGAAAATAACAAATACATGTTATTTTTTTGTTACAAACTATTAAAACAAGATTTAAGTACAACAAAACGTATATTTCTTCCTCCCTAATTGAATAACGCGAAGTAAATCAGATATAAATATTGTTCCGTTACTTAAACAAAGGCATGATGCTAATTCGAATTAGTTCAAAAAAGTTTCCTCAATTTTAAATAAATTAAGTTTAGTACTGCGATATTAAATACCTATAGACGTTCGCCAAAGAAATAACTCCATAGATAAGCTAATAATAATTATCTATAACAAAAAACAATCTGTCTAAGCAGTGGTAACGAAAAAATACAGAACAAAAATAAAATTATTATACACATAAAAAGTACGAGATCTGTTCATAAAAATGTATAATTGGAAAAAAATAAATGTATTTTTCTATATTTGGAAGATAATAATGGAATATGTGGTAAGTATTATATTATAAAAAAAATAAATAAGAACAAAAGGAGAAATAAACAAAATAAGTGATCAATTGAGTATTGCATATTATAATTTACGCCACCTAATTAATATTTTTTAACTAATTTAAACCGCGACAAACTTTCTTATATTCAAGATTATTTTATGAAAATCTGCGTAAGGTGGTCCTCTTTTTTAATCGTTTCGGTAGTTATAATTAATCCGAAACTCACTTAAAACTTCCCATGGAAGGAAAAGATAAAATGTAGATACATTCAAAATCCAATTCCACTTGTTTTCTTAGAATTATGCAAGTTTACTCATTAAATTCCGCTGCAACTTCGTCTGTCATCCAAAGTTAATATTTCATTTAGAAAATCAAATTTACGGGTCCTGTACAGCGTAGGACCGGGGAGACGGGAAATAAAAAGTCTCTATAGTCGTGAACTAAAGTCTACCTCGGGCAACAAATCCACTTTGCAAGTGCAAAAGTTAACAGACTACACAAATTCCCAGAAATAAATAATCTGGAGAAGCGCTGGTAAGTTAAACCTCCCGGTTGAAAAGTTCAACGGCAATCAGACGGTCCTTTTTTTAAGCGGGAGAGCGTTAATCGCAATTTAATCCCCCAGAATCATTCCTGAAACAGAACTGTTAAACTATCTACCATCTAAACTTGTAATAAATCACCCCGGAACTCCGGCTCCACCGCTGCTCGGCCAATTTCGCACAAATAAAACACAAATGTTACACTTAAATTCTGTTAATTACTTTCACACTATCTGCAAAACACAAACCCTGGGGCGCAGTTCACTCTGATAATTAATTTGAGTAGTTTCAGCCGATATGCCCAGTTGGCCGGGCTCATTTTATGCAGATAATTATTGCGATTAAAACGTACCCTAGTACACAAAAGTAGAGACTTCTCATTTAGAAAATCTTAAAATATAAGCATAAATATCTCAAAAACTACGAAATACTTTGGAATTGTCCGTTATACTTTGAAACGCCTCAAAGTACATTAAAATATATTTCCGATGCTTCAATATAATGTAAAGCAACTTCAAGATAAAACAAAATTCCTTAAAATACATCAAAATTGGACCGAATGTCAAAAAGCCCCCTCAAAAAATCTGCTCAAAAAATTTTTTTTAGAGATCGTTTAAGATTTTTAAAAATTTCCAAAATCGCCAAATAATTAATTTTTTTTTAATTTTTTTTCACGTTATTTTATCATTTTCTAGGTTGAAAAAAATCTTCATTCTGAAAATTTCAAATCGATATTTTAATTTCTAAAGGTCACTCATAATTATTTTAACTTTCAAAGTAGTGTATCAACGAACTAATAATTTTTTTTATTGAATTTGATCAAAAAAAGACACGAGACACTTAAATTTTAAAAAATTAAAATAATATAAATATTTTATACTCGGTGCGGTACTAAATTTTGCCTCGAGAAAATTTTTAAGTGTCTCGTGATTTATTTCTATTCTTTTGTTCATCAAATTCAATAAAAAAAGATATTAGTTCCTCGATATTTATTTTTTTCACTACTTTGAAAGTTAAAATAATTAGGTATGAGTTTAGAAATTAAAATATCGTTTTCAACCTAAAAAATGATAAAATAAGGAGAAAAAAAATTCAATTTTTGACGAGATTGGAAATTTTTAAAAATCTTGAACGACCTCTAACAAATTTTTTTTTGAGCTGATTTTTGGAGGGGAATCTTAAAACATAATAAACTAACATATTTTCACAAGAGACACGAAAAAAATTGTTTATTTTGGGCCACCCTAATATACATGTAATTAAAATTAGTAAGCGCATTTATAATATTTTTCCAAAAGTGCCCTTACACGTATAAAGGTTTCTGGTTGCTGTGTCTGGCTGTTATTCGTCGCGCCAGAGGACTTTGAGTTGAGAATTAGAATGCGTGGCCATTTCTTATAGATTGTTCGTGACGATATACCGGAAATCCGGAAGCGAACGAGACATAATGTAAGGGTGAAATTAAACTGATTTAGAGAGAAAATCTTATCGGTCTAAAAAATTAAAATATATTTCTTTCCGATTTAGACCAAGGAGTCAATGTTTACTGAGATATGAGGTTTTGAATGTACTACCGCAAAGTGAAGAAAACCGCTCGTATGAAGGAGCCCTAACGCTCTCGCCGTCGAACTATCCGAAGGATATCGTCGAATATCCGAAGGAGCTGGGGGACGTGCAGTGCCGTAGATGTGATCGATGTCGGCCCCCAAGTGTGCACTTTCTATTAGTCTCCACCGCTTCCAATAACCTAATCATCGAAGGCACATAATCCACATAGGAATTAGCTCTTTCATACGGACCCGCGTTCGGCGAGCGAATCAAAGGATTAATCGCAAACGTGCACTTTTTATTACTTTTTCAGCATACGCCTTGTGTGTGTGTATATACTTTGAACTTTTTTGGCATCTCTGAGAGCGAGGGTTTTTTTATTATTTGGCGGGGTAATTGAGTGTATTACGATGCGCGATCGACGCTTATACCCAGGTGAAGAGATTAAATGGGTGGTCTACTCGCATATGCTATTTGACGCTGTATTGAACGCATTGAATAGATGGAAACCGGCGGATTTTTAAATTTTCCTTCACTAACCATATATTCTAAGGAAAATGTTTATGACTATATCCTGGATCAGTTTATTTAAGCTACTTTACTGCACATATTTTAGTACATCTGTTAATTTAAATGTTACCCACAAAACAGTGGTGTTTTATATCAAGTATCTATGAGTTTGTGGAATCAACTAAAAAAGCTTAAGGAACCAAAGTCATTGGTATGCGAGATATACAATTTTCGTCAGTTTCGAAAATTTCCGCAGAAGCTCTCAAAGAAGCTTCTAGCACTCACAAACAGCGAAGTTGCAGGCGGCCTTCATTATATGATTACTGCGGGCCCGTCAAGGAATGTGATGGAACGTCGACCCTTATAAGTAAGAGCTAGTTTTTATGGTTCCCGAAATATTCCTTCTAAAATTAGAAACTTGAAGAGTAACTTTGATCCAGTCAAATTTATAAGATGTTCAAAGTCTGGTGGATTCTTCTAAAACGACGTTAAACCGTTAAAGGTACAAAACAATTTTAGTTAATATATTATTAATTTTAGCTCTCTAGCAGCTTATTTGAAAAATAGATTTTAATTTCGATAAATGAAAAATGCTCTAATTTTGTTTTCAAAACAAAGAAAAAAAGTAACTATTCTTTCGTCGCGACTGCATTTAACAGTTAAAAAAAGTTAAAAGCGATACTTCCAGTAAAACGAGCACTCATAGTGTTTCTTAATTAAACTGGAAAAACAACGGTGCTTGGCCGCGACACGACTGAAAAGATTTAAAAAGCGTTGCGTCTGCTGAATAAAATGAATTACGGTCTAGTACGTATTGTATTGTTTTTCCATTAGACGATCGCCGTTTGTTTTTCTGCTAAGTGGTATTTTTCATTAGGAGCAGACATGAACTGTCGCTACTGCTGGAACTAGCACTCGAAATGAAACTTGGGACGTTGCGAATAAAAGCTTTATAGAGTTTATTGCAGATTATAGCAGCGAGCAAATATGTCGCCGAGATATATTCGTAATGAATTGGATACACCGTTTTTGCATTAGTCTTTTTATTAATGAATGAACACACGGGGTGATTCAGTTTTAACCCCTACAGTGGTAAAACAAATTTGAAGAAACTGCTTCTTTTTTTGGAAAAAAATTATTTTTGACGACAACCTGAGGGGATTTTCTTCTGATTTTCACGTAAAATTTGGAAATGACGAAAAACCAATCCATTCTGCCATTTTGACAGCATCGATATGACAGCTGTCAACTGTCGAGAGGTATTTCTATCACATTCACAATCGGCGATGTCAAAAACACCTTTACCAACAATATTATCCAAGATCTCCAGTCACGTCGTCAATATGACACCGTTTTGACAGCTGTCAACTGTCAAACTGTATTTTTGATCTCAGATTCGTAAACAACGAAATACTCNATATTAAATTTTGGAATTTTTAATTTTTGGATTTTTTAATTGTTGGATGTTTTAATTTTTGAATTTTTAAATACTTGGATACTTTAAATTTTGGAATTTTTAATTTTTGGATTTTTTAAATTTTGAATTTTTTAATTAATATTTGGAAAGATTTAATTTTGGAATTTTTAATTTTTGGATTTCTTAATTGTTGGATTTTTTAATTTTTGAATTTTTTAATTAATACTTGGATATATTAAATTTTGGAATGTTTAACTTTCGGATTTTTTAATTGTTGGATGTTTTAATTTTTGAATTTTTTATTTATTTGGATTTTTTAATAGTTGGATTCTTTAATTTTTGAATTTTTTAATTAATATTTGGATATTTTAAACTTAGGAATTTTTAAATTTTAGATTTTTGAATTAATAATTGGATATTTTACATTTTGGAATTTTAAATTTTTGGATTTTTTAATTTTTGGTTATTTTAATTTTTGTATATTTTAATTTTTGAATATTTTAATTTTTGGATATTTTAATTTTTGGATTTTTTTAATTTTATTTGGATATTTTATGGCCAAATATTTTAAGTATTCCCTGTAAAATAATGCTGTAGTTCTGACTTC